CAATTTATGTTTAATATATCATATAAAAAACATTTCATGAGATCCTACTTGTATAAAAAATACAATGTAAACTACAAGAGTTATAGTCACTGCAGAAATTATGACAATTTATTTTCTTCTTTTTGCTTACTTAGAAAGTCTACATACTTCTAAAGTTAGCACATATTTATTTCCAAATTAAGCAAATAAAATTAATTCCTTCTTAAAACTAAAATACGTTCCTTCTAGTAGAGCACCATTATTATATCAACGATGTGGAATAGATCTCTTTCATTTTCATCTTTCTAGGTAACAAAAATCATGATTTAAACCAAAGCATATAAAAAAGTGTAGGAAATAAAAAGAGGTCATTTCAATAAGTAAAATAAGTATTTGTCAACTGCTTAGCCATGTACCAACATTTTATTTAATAATTTCAAGTGAGAGGAAGGGCATATTATTCCTATTCTAGATTTACACCAACCTGCAGCCTGAGGTAAATTAGCAGCAGATCCAAGAATTGAATTTGTGCCTTCAGATTTCACATCAAACATTTACTGCATTTGAATCACTAGGACTGTGTCCCTTGCGGGGATCATTATATTAAACCACCTACCATTTATCCTCACTCCTCAAAAATTGAACACAGGTATCTATTCCAAGAGTCTCAGGCATTAATTTTTAACTTGCTACCTTCAGAGCCTGGTCACTGTCAGATTTTCTTAGAATTCGTAGAACAAGAAAAACTCAGAAAATAAAATGTTAACCATAGCTTCTCTCCGCCTTCTCTACCCACTGTCCCCCAAGTTTTTTTTTCTTAATGTTATAGATTAATTTCCCCCCAAAATATCCAATGGGGACAGTCAGGACAGTGCTCTCACATGCAGCTCCTTTACCATCCCAGGAGTCAGGGAACGGACTCAGACAGATTAGATAAACCTGGTAGGCACCTTTCAGACAAGTGCATAACGAACTACCTGAGCCCACGAGGGAGAAAGAAACCTAACCAACAGCTTTCAGTGGCAACATTTTTGTATTTAAAAAAGAGAAAGAATTATTCATTTTTTATTTGAAATTCTCCAAGATTCACATCCTTTTATTTGTTTTCTTTGCTAAACATTTCTTACTTTCTCAGGTTTTTGTACTTTGGGGGCAGGAGCTAGGGAACAGAGTTAAGTGGTGGTTTTATTTCAGATAACACAGCATTTTCTTCCAAGACTAAGTTAAGCCCCTACATATCAGCAGCTAACCTGCTCTTCTTGAGAGATGTGCCACAAGAAACAGGGCACACCATCTAATACTGACAGCTGAAATGCACAGCAGAACTCTTCCCAGCACACATTCTAGGAACATTAACCTGTTCCGTATCTTTTTCACTTAGCCTTTGCTCAGTGTGTGCAGTAAGAGCGTCTGAGCTTTGGACTGAGTGAAGAGTGTGCCCCTATTTTTCCCCTTCTTACTGAAAAGGTAAATAGGTTAACTGAGGAGGCAGGAAGACTATTTTATATCACAGGTAGATTTGGGTGCAGGTTTTCTAAAGTCAGAAACTATCCTGCCATCAATTTCTATGATTGACGTTCAGAAGACATCAAAACACAAAATGATTAAAAATATGCTGAGTGACTTAAATAACTTTCTACTACCTTACAAATTTGTGAGATCAATGTTACATTTGGAGTGAAGGCTTACAACTCCGACACCCTATTTATCATTTATATGTATCTTCTACTTTCATGATTTAATTTTGGGAGTAGGGTAAAGAGGAAAGAACGAAAGATATAGAAAGAGGAGAACACCAAATATGACAGAAAATTAACCTCAACTCTTTTATTTGGTGAGAAACCACCAAATAAATGAGGCTGCCTGCTCAATCCTACATTTATTCAAATAAACCACCTTTATCAGCACTGGTGAAAAACAGCAGCGTCCTTTTATTTGGGGGAGGGCAGAGGATAACAGGATGATAGATATCTGAAATATAACAAAAAAGCATGCTTGTCGCGAAACCAATATCCAAAAGTTCAACGAAGCTGTTTAGTAACAACCACTAAAATAATCTTTTATGTATTATTTTTTTTTGAGTCATCTTTAAAATAAGAAGCCAGCCAGCCATCTCTGGGCACTGCTGAGATGAGTTTGCCACAAAAGCCACTTATATTTTTGGAAGCCAAAGTCTTGACAAATCAGTTCCTAAGAACATAATTTGTTACATGTTGCAGAAAGCCTGAGCACACAGACCTTGGTTAAAGAGGCTTCCGTATCTTTTTGTAACCTTTCCAAATGTAAGTATGTGGGAAGAGTACCCATAAATTTAAGTTTAACTAAAACACTGCGAATATTTCCCATTTACCATACATTAAAATGTGGTCTTTGAAAGGAAATGAAAATGACACATGAAAAGATGTTCATCATAGCTCATAAGAGAAATGTGAATTAAAAATGGAGTATCATTTTCACTCATCAGATTGGGGAAAATTTTTTCGCAAAGTACTGTGGGGAGAAGTAGATATTCTCTTACACCGCTGATGCAAGCATAAAGTAGTGTAACTTCTCTGGCAGGCAATTTGTAAATGTCTATCAAAATTTAAATTCCACTTGCCTTGGAGTCACAATTTTACTCCTAGGAATTTACCCCCTAGATACATTCATCCATGGGACCAAAGAACTATGTAAAAGGTTATTCAATACAGCTTCCCTGGTGGCCTGAAGGAAGATTCAACTCACCGTATGTTATTTTGTATTATGTGTATTTATTTTTAAAAAATTAAAATTTTCATGGGAGAAAATGTGATCTGTACTGTTTATAAATTAGAAGGGTTCTACACTTCCCTTTAAAAGGAAATAGTAAACTACCTGACACAAGATTAATTCCAGAACCCTGTGATAAAATGCCATGTTCAGATAGCATTAGTGAAAGCTCCCTATCGTAAGATGCCTTTGGCTCTTCAATAACCAAAACCCCTTGTTGGGGCTCCACTGTGGACTCGAATTCCACTTTACAATAAGCAGAGTTTCAGAAAGATTCCAATTTATTCCTTGCAAAAACATACCATATATAAAGGCAACTGTCACTCTGAAAAACAGGACCGCATTATGCTGCAGGCTTAGCACAGACTGAAAGCATGTTCCCCACTTCTCCTCCAGCGCATCTTGCCAAATGGGTGTCTGAGACGTCCTATTGAAACAGGTGGTGTCTGAACAGAATTGGATTTCTGCCTATAGAAACCCTAGTTTAAACAACTGCTGGTTAGTTTTAATTTTCAGTCCTTAAAATTAACTGCTTGCCAGTGATTCAGAAATAGACTGAAAAACATGTTTAGACTTTGCCCTGTTTAATTGAGGAAAAAAAGAACAAAAAAAAGTCAGGGAGCCGCCACACCCTACCTCTATTCCATAAAGAACAATAGAACCAAAGCAGACTACTTGATTTCCAGGCCAAAAAAAGAGGGGGGCGGGGGAGCAGCTATAACATAAACTCAGTTCTCTCAAGACGCCTGCCCCTCTGTACTTTTTTTTCATAGAAACACAAGGACATGACTACCTTGCTGAGATACAACTTAGGAAATCTTCTCATGGCTTTCGGAAGCCTTTTAATCTTTTAGAAATTTAGAATTAAGAATAATGGTAAGAATAAATCATTTTTGTAGTGAAAAGTTTTATCTTAAAAAATTTATATTCCAAACAGATCTGTTTCATGTCATACAAGCAAAATATAGTCATAATTAAATTCCTTGAAGAAAGAAATCACAGGCTAATCTTTAATCCTAACACAAATGCATCAATGTGCTGATCACACTAATTGGTGGTAACAATGTCTCCCTGTGAATATATCTACTGTAGCTTACACTAAATACAGTAACAAACCCTTTCCACTGTACCTTTAAGTTTTTAATAGAAAAGTGGTTAAAGATCTGATGATTTTTTTAAACCAGCAATCAAAGGAAAAGGAACCAAGGGGCTGGATATCTCCTATGTCCCACATACCATAGTTTCACATTCCCAAAAAGGAAAACACAGCCTCGTCCATTTCACAGGTGACGAACTGAGATGCAAAAAGATGTAATAATTTTATTCAGCCAGAAGATGACAAAAAATAAAGCTTTTACTTCAATCTGCCTGATTTCAAAACTTTTCCAATTGTTTCGCCCTCCCTCCCAACAGGAAACCTGGAGTCGTGAGTCAGGAGAATGACAAGTTTCAGTTATAGGACATACACTTGTCTATTTTTACTTTGCCAGTACCCAAAAGAGAAACCTATCCTCTTTCAATCAAGTATGATAGATGTCAAACCCTTCTGCAGTTTTTCGTTAGGACCGAATTTCAGCTACTAAGAAGATCAAGTAACCACGGTGAAAAATAATCTATTGTGATCATAAACCCTTTACAAAAAATCCTGATATCCTGAAGAATATTTGTGAAAATCACTCTAAAAGGATCCTCAGTTCATGTTTTAAAAAGCGGATAGAAATATCTCATTGCGATCGAGAGATGCTTCTTCATGGAGTACACTTGGCCCTTCTGCTTAAAATTCAAGAACAAATAGATTATATCAAGACTTGCCCTCAAATGTTTATTGCTCACTATCCTCCACCTGTCCTACCAACCAAAAAAATAAGATCTCAAAACAAACGCGATTTCCTCCCAAAAGGTCGCCGGTTGTTCTTTTCCATGTCCTGACCCCCACACCTTCTGTCTTTTTCTTACTTAAGGCTTGACAGGAGCTAGAGCCTAAACCAAATCCACAAATTCCCTGGTAACTCCAATAAGGTCTCTCATTTAGAGGAAACTACCTTCAAGGTTATCTAAACAAAATCATTCTGTATTTCAATATTCTCAGAAAACTGTGCTTAAATCCAAATACGCCCTTCCCACAAAAGTTTTCCTTTTAAAGCAAGGGTACCTCTAATACAGGGAGCTGTACAGCAGAAGAACCCTGGATGTGTATGTTCCAAGGAGGAAGTACACCAAAATTGCTCCGAGACTATTTAGAAAAACGTTGCATTTTTTAAAAAATCCACTGAATGCTCGCTTCGGCAGCACATATACTAAAATTGGAACGATACAGATAAGATTAGCATGGCCCCTGTGCAAGGATGACATGCAAAAATCCACTGAAAAGAAGGGAATGTTATTGAGCAAAAAAGGTTGTCATTTAGCTATAGGTTTATAGACTTTGAAGTAGAAAAAACATCCGCAGCTTTTCAAGATTCTTCTGGCAAAACATTTTTTGAATCATTTTTTTTCCCTAAGAGCGGAAAGCATTTTTCTAGGATGATTCCAGCTCTAAAAACAACCTTTCTGATCTCTTGAAAAGCCAAGTTCAACTTTTAATAGTGCTATGTACTTTTGGTTTAAAGAAGTACAAGAGAAAAAACAAAGCCAAAACAGTAAATTTACTCTACTTATGCCTCAAGCTGTACACAGGAACTTCACACAGTACATATGAAGAGAGGATTAATTTTTCCTGTAAAGATAGAATATATACATCGCTATGTCATAGATGCAACATTAGGTGCAAGAAACACAGCACCAATGCATTTCTCATGCCAAAACCCAGTGGAAAAATAAGGTTTGTCTGAAAAGACAGAGCCATGAACAATATTTCTAATAGACACCAAAAATAAAAGGTAGAAAAAAGCAAAAATAAACAAGTAGAACTACATCAAACTAAAAAGGCTCTGCACAGCAAAGAAAATCATCAATGAAATGAAAAGGCAAATTATGACATGGTAGAAAATATTTGCCAATCATATCTGATAAGGGGTTAATATCCAAAATATATAAAAATTCCTACAACTCGATAGCAAAACAATAGCAACAACAAACCCTAATCTTATTTAAAAATGGACAGAGGAACTGAATGGACTTTTTTTTAAAGAAAGACATGCAGAAGTCTAAAAGTACAACAAAAGATGTTCAGTGTCACTAATCACAGAAAGGCAAGTCAAATTGATAAAATATCACCTCACACCTGCTAGAATGGCTATTACCAAAAGACAAGAGATAGGAAGTGTTCCTGAGGAAGTGGAGAAAAGGGAACACTTCTGTACTGTGGGTGAGGTTGCATATTGGTACAGCTACTATGGAAAACAATATGGAAGTTCCTGTAAAAATTAAAAATAGAACTATCACATGATCCAGCAATCCAGTTCCAGGTATGTATCCAAAGGAAATAAAAACAGGACACCAAAAAAATATGTGTCTCTGGTGTTCACTGCAGTATTATAACATCCAAGACATGGAAACAACCTAAGTGTCCATCAACAGATGAAAAGATAAAGCCGTGGGCTGTGTGTGTGTGCACACGCAGAAATAAAGTATTATTCAGCCAGAGAAAGAAGGATATCCCTGTTGTTTTTGACAACATGGAGCAGCTTTGAGGGTATTATGCTAAATGAAAGGCAAACAGAGAAGTCAAATACTATACGATATCACTTATATTGGAATCTAAAAAGGCCAACCTCATAGAAACAGAAACTAGAATGGTAGTTACCAAGGACTAGAGGAAAGGAGGGGTGTTGGTCAAAGAGTACAAATGTCCAGTTTGAGATGATTAAGTTCTGGGGATCTAATGTCCTTCATGGTGATGGCAGTTTATATTACTGAATGACATACTTCATTCTGCTAAGAAAGTATATCTTAAATATTCTCACCACAAACTAGAAAGGGTAATTACGACATGATGGAGGTATTAGGTAGTGTTATGGTGGTAACTGTTTTGTAATATATGTTTATCAGATCGACACATTGTATGCCTTAAACTTACGCAATGTTATACGTCAATTATATTTCGATAAAGCTGAAAAATTTTCTAATAAAATCAAAATGGTTCATAAGTCAGTGACACAATGATAGGCTCCATTAATAATGAGACAGTAATAATTATTTAAATGTCAGATAAAATAATATGAGGTAGCCAAAAATCTAGGTAAGATTTTTAAAAAGTATTTAGTAGTCTATAGACACATTTCCATAAAAGACTAATCTTCCCACATAAAATGAAAAGAATCCATAGGATTACTTTAATTTGAATTAATTTTTAAATTTTAATTTTACTACAAAATTCACTAGAAGTCATCCCTTAAAAATTGATGTTCAATAACTGGTGTGCTTGAATATTCCACATTACAGTTTATTATGTAGAGTTGTCAAGACATACTCTAAGCCTAATAGGAAAAAAATCTGCAGGGTTCAAATAGCACTTAAAGAAACACAAAAAGAAAAGCTGGAAATCAAGGAGATAATTCTAAGATAAAGACTAAGTCTGGAAAGAGACAGAAGTCTACTAGAGCCCTTATCAGGAGGCAGAGCCACACTCCGCTGCATTATCAATGACCTGTAACCTCTTCTCCAGCTCACAAGCAATCCTTGCGTACTCCGGGACTAAGTGGCTGTTTTAAAAAGTTCTTGTGTCCTATTTACTTTTTCCTACCACCCTTATCAGAAGCCTAATGTACTCAAGTTCCATAATTCACATGCTCCAATTACCTACCTAACTGCATACCCGAGAGGAATAATAATCAGAAGTGTAAAATGCCACCCTCCTGAAAAGAAAAATCATGAGAACTAAGATTTAAAATGGACCAGTTCATTTTTAAGGGCATAGCCAAAGATAAATAGCATTGACACTGTGCTCTTGGTAACTATAAAAAGAATAAAATAGAGTTGCTTTTTATAATTAAAAAAAGCAGCAGCATAGGCCTGGCTGGGTTTCTCAGTTGGTCGCAGTACCATCCCATACACCAAGAGGCTGGCTTCTCCCTCGGTCTGGGTGCAGGTGACGGGCCACTGATCGATGTTTCTCACACATTGATGGTTCATTCTCTCTCTGTCTGTCTCTGTCTCTGTGTCTCTCTCTCAAATCAATTTAAAAAAAGAAACAAACATCCCCAAGTGAGGATTAAAAAAAAGAAGCAACATCTCCTTAATAAATATATAGTAAATCCTTAACTTTAAAATGAGTTGTATTCCACCCAAGTACCAACCAAGGCCAACTTTGCTTAGCTTCTGAGGTCAGACAAGGTCAGGCATGTTCAGGGTGTAGGGATATAGTAAAGGGGGTCAAATACATGGTGACAGAAAATCTGACATTGGATGGTGAGCACACAATGCAATATATGGTTTGGTGAATCATAGAATTGTACACTTAAAAACTACATAATCTTATTAACCAATGTGATGCCAATACTTTTAATTTTTTTAAATAAAATGAGTTGTATTACAAAAGCCCATTTCTTCATGAAGATAAATTTCCCCATAAAATATTATAAATAGTGGTCCATTTCCAAAGTTGGCTCGATCACCTCTTTAACATCCCACAATCTAGCAACATAATACAGTGCAGAATGAAATGTGATAAAAGTATTGAATACTTGCAATATGTCAAATGCATAGTAGTAGTTTAAATTGAAAGGAGAAACACTTCAACGAAACAGAGCCCCCCAAAATGAACTTCAGGGGTCCTCTATACCCCAAAATGTTTACACAATTATATTTATGGATAATTAAGAGCAGGTCCACAGCTTTGCTGAAGTTCTCAAAGTGGTTGTCCATAACCCCATAAAGGGGAGGAACTTCTGTGCTATGTAAAACCCAACACCTTCCTACAACGCCCTCAGGTAGATTTTATCAGTGGTCTACACATGCTTATACATAATGAGAATTTCATGGATACAAAACTATCAAAAACCTCCCAGAAAAACAAACTGAATGAAACTCTACAGTAACAAACACATTTCAACATTGTATGGGGTCTGAACTGCCAACATAAGATGACACAGAAGTACATCTAAAGTAGAAGCTGGTGACACAATGGCACAAGTGTAAAGCAGATGTTGACCCATCAATACTATCTGTCTGTCAGCTGGCTTAGCTGCAAACATTTCACATTGTTTAATGTAGGTGAAAAAATCACTTAAACAATTTTCTCCATCCTAGACAAATCGCATAGGCAAAAATTTACCACACCTGTTACTGTTATCTTAAAAAGGAAAATCCATCTTTTACCTACATGCAATTTAAACAAACACAAATGACTATTTAAATTACCCAAGCATATAATATGAATGAGTACACCTTTTCTATTTATTTTGATCATGAATGTTTGGATAATAATTCCTTCTTATATGATTTTAATGTTATTTTCAACTTTACCCAAAAGTTTCTATAAATTAATCTAACAAAGTTCAGATATTGTTCTTTTCTTGACTGATGACAGTTTATTGGTTTATGCTTTTTGTTTAAATAAATTTGAACTGTATAGACGGTAAGGCTTTTCTAACCACCAGTGTAAATTCATATTCATACCTGCTTAAAATGTTATTGCTTGCTTATCTCTTTATCTCAAACCAGGAGTCTACAGCTAAGCCTTTATGGCACGTAATCTCTTTTACCTCTCTCAAAACATTATTACACTTCTTAACACACTAGTAACTAATTTTCTATTGGAAGGCTTTTCACAAGACAGTGCTACTCACCCCTCCTGCCTTCAGCAACTTTCTTCTAAACTCCTCTGTGGGGTTGTTGAAAGTTAGCTTTTCACAGCGGAGGTGATTCACTGGTGGATGGCCTTCAAGATGCAGGAATAAGTCATAATCAAAGCGGACTTTCTTAGGTTCTTCCTAGAGGTTGAAAAAAATTAAGACCGAAAAGAGAGAATTAGGCATAAACAGAAATTTAGAAAGCAAAGGTTTACTCTTCATTAGGAACAGAAAAGACTCAGACATCTAAGAGGTATTATGTCAAGGAAATACTGGGGAGAAAAGTACCACAAAATTATCTACAAAGCAAAATGGAAATACCTGATAAATTAGTTTCTTATGTTAAGGGGAAACCAAAAACAATAAACTTATCATCTTTCCTGAAGGCTTTCAAGTGGTATGACACCAGCAATACAGCCATCCAACTAGAAACCTAAGACACCCCTGAAGTTACTCCTTCCCATTCTTACTCCATCTTCCCACACCCATCATCAACTCCTGCCATTCTCTCTCCTAAATAATTCTTGAAGCACTCTAACCCATACTATTGTGGACCCTGAGAAAGAAGATACCTACTAATAAGGGTTCCCAGCAGCTAACTGGACTCATATTTTTAAAAAACAACAGCCTATCAGTCATTTCTATATATCAGCCTCTCACACCAACTGGGCTTCAGAGACAAGACTGCACTGAAAAGTCTGCCTCTGCACTGAACTGCCTACCTGCACTGTGTTTTTGCCAATGAACCAGCCCATTTAAATAAGTTTCTGGAATCTATTTCAACCAATAGGATTGAGGCTTTCCTCACTCAATCGGAGCTATGCAGCTATAGCCCCAACAACATCTTCACCTACCACTCACAGAAGCTCCATTCTGACCAATCAGAAAAGTGCCTTTTGGACCAAACTGCAAGAACTGAGTCCTCATCTGCATGAGGACAGGTCAATCAGGAACCAGGGGTGAGGACTTCTGTCTATATAAGCCACCTCCCCTCTGGCTATGGGAGCACACTTTCCCTTTCTACGGAAGACTGTGCTTCTCTGAGTGTGCTAAACACCAAAGATGTCTTCCCAGAGCACAGTGGAGAAAAGGTTGGCACAGAAAGGAGCAGACCAGTGCAGCACAGGCAGCCCAGCAGGGAGCAAAGTAGAGCTATTGTGCACTGAATAAAGTTTTCTTCCTCATTGTACCCCAAATTGGGGATTCCTGTTGGCATTGAACTGGCATCAATAACCATGGGTTGACACTATTATTCTGTTACTCACTTCCCAAACTACTATAAACTCCTTTCTATAGTAGGTCTTCATACTTCAAGACAGAGAATCTTCAATTTCTCCCTTATTCAGATTTCAAAATTATCTAGTATATGAAACAAAAATCTACCCATTTTCATACCTCATTAAAATGTTAACAGCTTCTAATTGACAGTAGGATAAAATTTAACCTCACATGAATGCCCTATAAGGACTTCCCTAATCTGGCCCTTGGCCCCTTACCTTACCATATTCTTTTCAGTCATCTGATGACCTGGCAACACATTACTGTGGGTTCCTGGTATTTACCAGGTTGGTTAACTCTGGTTTCCACTCCTGCTTTATGTTACTACCTTCACTGGCTACCTCCATTCCTCCCACCCAACTCCTCACTGCCTCTCCCAGGTGGTGTGTATCTCTCATATCCTTGCCACATTTGAGAATAACTGTCTTCTAATTTTCTTCCTTTACCCTGATAGATCATAAAATTCTTGAAAGTAGGAACAATGGTTGAATCATCACTATATCAGCAACAGCTAATTTAGTACTTATGCATAGCAGAAAAGTGACAAAGGTCTGTAGAATTAATAAAATAATGGCATTTTTCCTAATCTGGAAGGACAAAATAGTTTTGTATCCAAAAAACACAATAATTAAAATTTCATACCAAAGTTCTATTTTTATCTTTTATTTTTTAGAAATTTATTTTTCTTAGCATTAAAAAAATTTTTTTAAATATTTTATTTTTAGACAGATGGAAAGGGAGGGAGAAGAGAAGGAGAGAAACATCCAAGTGTGGTTGCCTTTCTTGCACATCCCCGATCGGGGACCTGGCCCACAACCCAGGCACATGCCCTGACTGGGAATCGAACCGGCAACCCTTTGGTTCTCAGGCCAGCACACAACTCACTGAGCCACACCAGCCAGGGCTACACTAACATATATTTTATCTATGCAAATGCATGTGAAGGAAACAGAGAGGTTATATCGAATAGGAGGAAAAAAACTAAGTTTAACTCTAGACACTTCTACTAGGAATATACATCTGTATAATCTTTGTAGAAATAAAAATGTTGATGAATATAATTATTTACAAGAAAAAGAATGAAATAATAACATCACTTTGTAGTCTACAATAGTTTAAAACAAAAAAAACAAATCACTTTTCAACAAAATTAAGGGTAGAAACCGAAGAAAGTGCTATCTTTCTATAAACCCTGAGTACAATTTTCTTTTAAAGACTTTTTTGAGGAAGGAAAAAGTACCCATAAACTTGTATTCTAGCCAACTGAATATATTTCTTAGAGAGCAAACGTCAATATTATGTCAATCTGTGCTCATCAGAGAGGATCCTTCTTGAAGTGCAAACTAGAAAGCATGTGTTTGTTATGTATCAAGCTAATTCATTCTCTAGAGGTGAAAATCTACTTTTAGAAACATCAAATCACCCTCCTCATTCTGTTTCAATCTTTGATATTTACTCAGGTACTTTCTCTGAGTACAAGAAAAAAAAGTATGAGATCCTTTCAAACCTTAAGTGCTACAGTCAATTATGTTTTAATGTGCCTGTTGGTTTAGAGTTTCTGAAGCACACGATTCTCACAGATGGGCTGGAGTTGTTGAACACGAATACAACATAAGACAGAGTGAATATACACAAACTCAAAAGAAGCACTGACACTCCGCCACCCTTTTAACTCTGACCTGTCAAATAAACAAGCAATACTGAAAACAAGCATGTCTGGCTGCAGGGAAAGCACAGGGTAGAGATGAGACCAAGACAGGATGACAGCCTTAACCTACAGGGGGAGGACTCCTCCACGGTCGCGTGGAGGTCTCCTTGCTGCTTTTTCTCATCTCTCATGAAAACTTCGAACAATAATTTTTCCATCAGCTGTTATCATAATGAATGCTCGTTCTTTAAGACAGAGTTTAGTAAACTCTAAGGATGAATAAAATGATACTAAAAAAATGGCCTTAAACGAGCCATGCAATCTTTCAATGACTCAGTTTTTGTTCCTTTAAACTACTAATAATATTACTTACATCCATTCCTTTAAACTAGGAATACACCTACTAAGTAATATTACTTAGTAGGTTTACAAGAACTTACTAGGAAAGTTCTTGTAAACCTACTAAATAAAGCAACATATTTAAATGGCTCAGAAGACTGCTAAGGACAAAGCAGTCTTCAAATATTTAACTATACAGAAATAGGTTACTGTCAAACAAGCTCCCAAAATACAAATATTTATTTATTTATTTATTTAATTTTATTTATTTTTCAAGTACATACAAATATTTAAAAAAATAACAATTAATGCAGGTATGGATAGCAGGTTTATAGAGAGGTTGGTGAGTCAGAAATGTAGTACATGAGGAGGTGTGCTCAAAAAGAAACAAAAAATATGGGAAAAAATTGATCCCTGTCATCCATACATTCTTCAGGATAGTTTTATATAATATAATTAAAAGTGAATTATCTCTTAATCATAAAGAGATTTTTGGGCCTTCATCACATTGAAAAAGCCAGTGGGACATTGTTGCAATGGAAAGTACTAGCTTATCAGTGGTTCTCATACTTCACTGTGCGTGAGAATCAACTATCAGGCTGGTAAATATGCACTTTCCCAGGCCCCGGTCCCAGAGATTCTGATTCGGGAGATATGGGGTAGAGCCTGAGAATCTCACTTCTAACCTGCTCTTCTTGGTAATGCTGATGTTGCTGGCAAGGACCATACCTTCTGGGAGTACTGGCTTCGTTAATATGACATTCAAATTAGTTCAGTTCCTTTCAAAAAAGGAGATATGTGTGAATTATCTCCCTCTTGGGCAAGTTTTAGAAACTAGACTTTGGAATAAATGGAAGGAACACTGTGATTAAATATAACATATCATTTACTAAGCATTTACTTATATATGAAGCATTATTTTTTTATTTTAAAGTATATTTTATTACATTCTATTTAAAAATAAATGTATTAGTAAACCCATTTTTCTTCTTTCTTTTTCTTTCTGAGTTTTTTCTTTTTTTTTATTTTTATAGTTATTTTTCAAGTACAGCTTTGTTTATTTCTCCCATTCCAGCCCACCCCTCCCCCATACACCCCACCTCCCTCCCATTTCTACCCCCCTTAGTTCTTGTCCCTGTGTCCTTTATACTTGTTCCTCTAAATCCCTCCCATTTGTTCCCCTTAAATTCCCTCCCCTCCCCTCTCTGGTCGCTGTCCCCCTATTCTCTATTTCAGTGTATTTGTTTTTATTTTGCTTGCTTGTCTATTTTGTTGTTTAGCTTCTTATTAAAGGTGAGATCATATGGTATTTGCCTTTCAACCCCTGGCTTATTTCACTCAACATAATGCTTTCCAGTTCCATCCATGCTGTTGCAAAGGATAGTAGTTCCTTCTTTCTCTTTGCTGCATAGAATTCCATTGTGTATATATGCCACAGTTTTTTGATCCATTCATTTACTGATGGGCACCTTGGTTGCTTCCAACTCTTGGCTATTGTAAATTGTGCTGCTATGAACATTGTGGTGCATAGGTTCTTTGAAATTGATGTTTTGGGATTCTTAGGATATAATCCTAGCAGTGGAATTACTGGATCAAAAGGCAGGTCGATTTTCATTTTTCTGAGAAAATTCCATACTGTTTTCCATTATGGTTGTACCAGTCTGCAATCCCACCAACAGTGAACTAAGGTCCCCTTTTCCCCACAACCTCTCCAACATTTGTTGTTGGTTGCTTTGTTTATGATAGCCATCCTGACTGGTATAAAGTGGTATCTCATTGTGGTTTTAATTTGCATCTCACTGATAGCTAGCAATATTGAGCATTTCTTCATGTGTCTCTGGATCTTCTGTATGTCCTCCTTGGGGAAGTGTCTGTT